TAAAAGTATTGAATATTATTTGATTTAGTCGGTTTGAATCTTATTCAATCCAATCCATATTAATAATTTTTAATCATTTTCTTATGATGTATGATTTAATACATTTCAATAGACGTTTTAAGGAGTCAGATATAGGATTCAAAATGATTGGCCTATTTTTAATCATTTTTAATCCAACATTTTTAGCAGGGACTGTGAAAGGCACGTAATGCTGCAGTTCAAAAATGCAGTAGTTGTCGCTGTTGTTGCTGCTCATCAAAGTGCGAGCGCGCTGCGGCGCACGGAGTAGGACGGCAACGATGGCGCTAGTGGGACGTGAACACGCACACAAGCATATTCAACATAATGTAAATTTAAATTGTCAGAAGTTTTCTTGAAAATCTAAATTTCTTGAAATTTTTTTCAGCTTTGGTAGCTTTTGACGGTCCTTTAACTTTCATTTAATCTTCTAAAAACTCTTTAACTGTTTTTTCGCACCATACTAGACATTTGAACAAATTTTCAGCTTTGCAATACGTCGGTTTTATAGTTTGGAAATTCCCACATTCCCTTGTCCGTCCACGCGGTCAGCTTCCAGTGCATCTTTTGATGGTCGGTTTTTCATTAAGCCGTCGTTAATCTACTCTTTTCCACGTATAATTTTCCATGCATCGAGGCATGTCGCACCCCATGTACAGTGCCGGTCAGCCACTTTTACCCCCCCACGGGCAAAATCAGTCTAACTTCAAAGTTTTATATCTCTGGTAGAAATTAACGTACAGAGACGCGCGTGGGTGCGTTTGAAAGGTCTTTCGGAGAGCTTTCAAATAATATGACTCACGGTTGCCATCGATTGTTTTTGTAACAATCGAAAAAAATTTATAGGAGAAAAAATGTTTGTTTTTTCACGTAGAATACTGCAATAATTTTCTTTTCGGTTTTTCGAAAAATTTTTTTTTTCGGTTTAAATTATTTTTCAAGGTCGAAAAAAAAAAGATTTTTTTTTTGATGTAATTTACGATACTTGTTATGTAGTATTATTGAATGGGTGGAAAAAAATTTTTTTTTGTGGTTTCTCATCTTTTTAGCGTACCGACTGTGAGAAAAAAAAATTGAAAAAAACCGAAAAAAAAAATTTTTCGAAAAACCGAAAAAAAAATTATTGCAGTATTCTACGTGAAAAAACAAACATTTTTTCTCCTATAAAATTTTTTTCGATTGTTACAATTTGACGGAGATAAAAAATGTTGAAAAAAACTGTCACTTCCAGGAAAAAATGCCCGTGCGCGCGTCATATTTGACGAAAATAAATTTTTGATCAGTGATTCAGATAGGGCTTGGTAATAGCTAAAAAATGGTGTACTTCAAATTTTCGTACGATTTTTTTTCCAAAATTGGCTAATTGTCAAAAATAATAAAAAAATTTCAGAATTTTCAATTTTGCATAATTGTTGCAAAATTTAAAAAAACAATCGATGGCAACCGTGAGTCATATCATTTGAAAGCTCTCCGAAAGACCTTTCAAACGCACTCATGCGCGTCTCTGTACGTTAATTTCTACCAGAGATATAAAACTTTGAAGTTAGACTGATTTTGCCCGTGGGGGGGGTAAAAGTGGCTGACCGGCACTGTAGCTAGCTCTTAGACTAATACCAAGGTGTTTGCTGTCTAAAGAAACGTTGGCTTTTTAGTTAATGTCATTGTCTATATTGCCAACTTATTGATACTCTTCGATCTCTAAATTATCTGAGTGCCATCTCATTGAGAATAGTCGTCGTCACGTCGTCTCGGAATATTCCTACAGATATATTGATTGCCATTAAAATAGTAGTCTTTTTCATTATCACTTAAATATACTTTTGGAATTGAGTTCATCAACAATATCTAAAAATATTGTATTGAGTCTGTTGTGCCTAGACGAGGAGGTGTTATGGCTAGGCGTAATAATGTTTAAAATATTGTCGCGTTGGTAAAGGTTGGATCTTAGTCAGGAGGTAAGCAGAGGTTGATTAAGGGATAACGCCTTTATTATACGTGGTGTGTTTAGGTAGATAACTAAGTTTCTTACCTTGTTAGGGCCTGGCTTCAGAGGAGATTTTCTAAAAGAGTCTCAGGTGTTTGTACTTGATTAAGATTTATTATTTGAAAAGACAAGTTTATAATGCTTACCAGAGTACAATTCCGGTTTTGAGTAACCGGGTAGCGAAACTTAGAAATAATACAATAACAATACTATACTACTGAATTACTGAACTGCTACTGTCTATCTGCGAATTCTGATTCAGCCTTTCTTATACCATAGGCTGACGTGCCCCTTCCCTTTCTTTTTGCCAAATTAATATGCGGTGACTAATATTCGCGGAATTAATATGGAGAACGTGCTTAGTCTAAACCATCTCGCTAGACAGATTTATAAATTTCCCGAGAAAGTTGATAATTGGTATGATAGGAAGTTAAATTACCGATACCTGATTAGTTACCATAGCCCGTCACGTGCGTTCCCGCGACACTTGATTAGTTACCATGGTCCGTCACGTGCGTTCTCTTAGTATCGACGTAACAAATCTGTCTGAGAGCGAGCAGCTCGTATGCTAAGTGATCTTCTACTTTCTTTGTCCAAACATTTTAGAAAACATCGAGAAAAAATAATATTGTAAGTACCTTTGGCTCAAATTTGGCCAAACTTTAGTTTAACTTTTTATCTAAAATTAAAAAAGAAAAGTTTCAAAATCATCTTATAACGAATCGCTTGTATATTCGTTATGTCTCTCTCTCCCCAAGAAGCCAGTAACTAATATATTTAATAAACATTATAAATTATCATATCGTTTGAATAGTTACAGCATTACGGACGTCAGCGAACTGGTAAGCGACGCGACTGGCGTACGATAATCGATATCGACTCGCGGCGCGGACCTAGCGGAGAGACGCTTCCTTGCGAGGAGAGAGAGAGAGTTTCGAAAATTGATACAGTTGGCTTTCAATCAGCGACCGGCTAAGACTCCTCGCACGAGTCGCCACAAGTTTTCCGGCTTTTCTTCGCGAAGAACTAGCGTTAGAAGGTAGCAGAGAATATCGCTACAGCGGGGCTGAAGCAGAGGCCTACTACGGACGATCAGCACCGCTCCTATCAGGGGAGAAGCGTCATCGCCAATTCATCGACGACAAGAGCGAATACGCAACAGAAGCGAGTCCGCTACTTAACGCTCTTGGTCCGCGGGTTAGATTAAGCGTGCAAGCGGCGATACTGTAAGTACCAGGTCTAGCGCTTGTCTTCTCTCTCTATACCGCTCTCTCCCTTTTTTGCGTTAACTAAGCCGCGCGTTTACGCTCGCCTTTTTCTTTTGTACACGTTGCGCCGCGGCCACAGTTGATACCGGCATGTTCTCTCTCTCCGCGAGTGTGCTGTCGCTTTTGTATATTCGTCGTACTTAAACCGAATAAGTGCGGTTTGCCGTTCGTGAACACCCGGCTCCTGCGAGGCGATTTTGCTGCTACCTGCTCCGACGAGGTTAAGCGCTGTCGCCTCCTCGTTCGAACGGTGCGCGCCGGTTCGCTGTCGCCATTGTGCACAGCTCACAACAGAGCGAGTGCTTACGCGACCTTAACCGCATAGCGCGTGCGCAGTTTCGTTCGCTTCACCGTCAAATTATTGCGAGTTTGTTTGCGTTACGATTAACATTGTTTGTATCGACGCGTTTCGATACCATGTATTCCTTTGTTGTTAATTAAAATTTATACGCCTCTACTTTTAATCCAATTCGAGTGCTTATTGTTCGCCGACTCCCCGGTCCTTGAATCGCGATTGCGTACGCGACTGTACACGCGCGAATCTCTATCCCTGGCTGTCGCGCATCTTCACGCGTAGCCTACGACACTCTCCGCGGGCCAAGCTTTCTGACAGAAAAGGAGGCAACTGAGCTGCTGGACCCAGGACACCCGGTGCAGGAGTACCGAGCTGTTCTGGAGAGTCACTCATCTACTTTTCCGCGGTTACTTTTATATAGCGTGTCCCGCTCGAGCGAAGCTGAGCAGGAACCCCGTTATAATCTTTAATTAAAGTTTGGCCACACTTTAGTTAAACTTATAAATAAAAATTTTTTTGAATCAAATAAATTTAGGAAAAATCTTTCCAAAGTTTTTAGAAAGAAAGTGACCAATTAATTAAGATTGGCATCGTCTCAAGGAATAAATTTTGCCAAATTTCATCTAACGTAAGTTTGGTGCAAGTTTGGTAAAACTTTAAATGATTTTACGCAGGTATAATTAAAAAGCATGTTAAATTCAACACGTATTCAATAATTGTGAAAGCTTATGACCTTTGTTGATTTTCTACTGAATAAAGTGATGAAAAGCTAGGCAAAGGTTCCAATTAGGTTATTTTTGTATAAAATTTTCATCGTTTTTAAACATAATTCATCGTATCTCATGGCTTTATTCGTCACTTTCTCATACTCTTTTCATTAACGTTTCACCGATTTTTCAACTAATTTTCATTAAAATTTTTCCACTGTGGTTTGCAGGTTGAAATTAAATACGTATCTAACCAATATCTAGTGTGATTGACCAATTTTCAAGTTCATATTACCTATTTTTGTTAATACATATAATGAAACTCATTATACGAACTTTCAACTTGGAAATTGCCAACGCGATGTAAGTAAGATAGGTACGGTACTGATTACAAAGCAGCCGACACAAACAGAATCTTACAAAATCTAAAGGCCTGTTTTTATTCTTTCTAGTGGCAACGCTGAAAGTTATTGTTTTTGTTTGTTTTTGACATAAGTAGAAACATTTAAATTTCTCACGAACAATTAAATGAAATTCGCATTTTTTCATATAAAAAGATAACGAACAAATGTTTAGTTTAATAAATGTATTTGAATACATAGAGAAGAATTGATCTACATTATTTAGTTGTCATAGTGTTTTAAATTAATAAAATTAATGTCTAACTTATATGATCTTCAAATGAGTTAAAAGCGACAATTTTTTACTATAAAAAAATAGTGAAATATCCTTATGTTTATGTGCACGAAAGGTTTACATATGTATAAAATTAATTCAGTGTTACTATTCATTGTTATTCCTACTATCATTTCTAACCATAGAAACTAAATTTTTTTAATTCGTTCATTATTGATTGTGTATATATTATCTTTACGGCTGTGAACTTCCGTAACCATTTATTTGACTTTATTTGATTATTTATTTTTAAAATATATTCTTGCAAGAATAAACTTTGATATTTAAGTAAATTATTATTATTATAATATTTTAAAGATCAAAAACTTTTGTGTACAATATTTTTGTGGAATGGCTGAGAATGAGCAAAAAGCATTGCAACTAATAGCTGAAGCTGAAAAAAAATTGACATCTTCAAAAGGATTCTTAAGTTCACTATTTGGGTATGTTCTATGATTTTATTTTAGTATAGTTGTATATAGATATGAGCATAATGGGTCATTATTGCTGTGTGATTCTAATGCGAAGAATTTTGAATTTTTCAGTCTATAGATATTTTAAAACCATGTATTTTCAAACATATTTTTCATTAATTTATTGTTTCAGTTATTAATTGTTTAGCCTTGTTAAAATTGTAACTTCTATTATATACATAATATTTAAAAAATTTTAAAGAAACTCATCCTGAATGTAATAAACTTGGTGTACGATACTTTTGTAATACTAGTTAAAATGATTTGTATCATTTTTTTGGCATTACCAAACATTCAAAGCCTAACTTTACAATCAACATTATTCATTGTTTATGTATCTATAGTTCTATAAATTGAATTCAGACAAATTTATGATATATTTATAAAAATCAGACAATTTTAAAACTTTTAAGATTTCAAAATCAGGGTCATAAAGAACAAATATTAGAGATAATCAATTTACAGATTTATGATCCAACTCAAATATGTAGTTTGTGTTTATAATTTGATTTAATTATGTTTATATATGATATTGCATGTGTCAACGTTCAATTGTAAAAAAAAGAACATACTTAGCATTACATCATTATGTCTACATATATTGTATTTATTCTATGTATATATAACATCTATTCTATGCATATGAGTAAAGTTAAATTATTTTTGTATTTTGAATTTTGGTCACTTTTGACATTGCTGATTTTTATTGTTACTCATTATTTTGATGGCCAATACTTATAGTTTCTTGCCTGATTATTGGATTTACATTATGAATTGGATTTAAATCATCATGAGTTACAGTGTTGAATTTATTGCATAATTTTTTTGTAAAAAAAATTGTAGGTGCCTACCTAAATTTTGAACTTTAGCCTTAAGAATAAGAGTATATAATCAAACCACTAAGCTACTATGGTTCTAGTATATGTAAGTAAAAAAATATTTTCAGTTTATGTGTTAAGATCTAATGAGTTCGACCTTCCCAATAGTTGAATCAAATAAAAATATGACATACCAAAATTAACATTCAACTCTATACTTCTTGATTAAATGTAACATAATAACAATATATTAAGCAGAAAAACTGTCCAGAATTGATTTCTATCCTTTAAAACTACCCTTCATTATTATGCCACTGCCTCTTCTATACTTGTTTATATATCAAGTTATTACACAAATATTAATAGGCAAGCGATTAGGCATCTTATATATTATAGTGTTGTCAAAATGACGTAAAGTAGCCAATCGAGCGAAAATTTGCGTATTTCGTTCATAATTTGTTATTACACAAATATTATTTAAAAAAAATAACTGTCCTTAATTATTATGTCCTATAGTATAAATACAGGAAATATGAGCTTGCAGAGCCATCAGCAACCCCTACGTCCATTTGAACATAGCCGTTCCAGCGAAATTTTCAGTTATTCATGCATAATTTGTTACACATTTTTTATTTTACAAATGAAGTTTTAAGTTGTGTATTATATTGTGGACTTTATGTTCACTTTTAATTGTTCGAGTAATTTAATGCTAGTTGGTAAGCTGTACGAGGCAGTCGAACAACTATATGGCGAAATAAAATATACGAACTTAAATGAGTTTGAAGTTTGGAACGTTCAACTTGAACGAAAAAAACGAAATTTAGAAAAATGCCTTCTTATCAAAATTAATCGCTGAAATTCAATATAATAATGATAAAAAGCCAAAACAAAACTATTGGAATCACCTACCACCCTCTAAAAACTACCCTTAAAAATTAAGACAATGTCGAATATTGTTATATGTTATTTAGTACAAAATAATTAATTATTTTTAACAATAATTATTTATTCTTATGTTAAATCATGAGTGAAAATTTTGAGCGCTTGGAACTACCCCGAACCGCCCCTAATTTCATTTAAACAGGTGAGAAAGCAAAATTGATATCTTTTAGCTCTAATTTGTTATTAGCCACTAAATTGTTTTATATTTTCGCATATAATTATTTATTGTCATGTAAGGAATTGGTGTATGAAGTTTGAGTGAGCGGAACGATACACAACTACCCCTAAGTTAGTTTAATAACTAATCAAATATAGGGAATACGCTGTTTACAGGCTGCCATTTGTTATTAGCCGCTCGATATTTAAATTTTTTTGTATATTATTGTTGAATATCATATAAAGAACTGGTGTACAAAGTTTGAGCGCGCGGATCGATATGGAACTACCCCTAAGTTTAATTAACAATATACGCGATCAAGGAAATTCGTAGTATTACGCCCCCATTTGTTATTAGCAACTCCTTTTTTTAGTTTTTTTGCATAACATTGTTGAATGTCATATAAAGAACTGGTGTACAAAGTTTGAGCGCGCGGAACGATATGCAACTATCCCTAAGTTTAAATAACAATATATGCGATCAAGGAAATTCGTTGTATTTACGCCTCCTTTGTTATCGGCAACTCCTTTTTTTAGTTTTTTGCATAACATTGTTAAATGTCATATAAAGAACTGGTGTACAAAGTTTGAGCGCGCGGAACGATACGCAACTACCCTAAGTTAATTTAACAACTATTCACGTATAGGGATTACGCAGTTTTTAGGCTGCTATTTGTTATTAGCCACTCGATATTTAAATATTTTTGTATGTTATTGTTGAATGTTATATAAAAGAACTGGTGTACAAAGTTTGAGCGAGCGGAACAATAGGCAACTACCCCTAAGTTAACAATATAATTTAACATCAAAGAAATGTGGAGTTTCAATTCTCCCATTTGTTATTAGCCACTTAATTTTTCACTTTTATTGTTTATAAATGTTGAATGTTATGTAAAGAAATGGTGTATAGAAATTTGTTACATATAATAGTTGACTATTCTGCAAATAAGAAATGAGCAAAGTTTGATACTGGGAAAGAACATGAAATTGTCCTCAAATCCATTCAAGAAGATAAATATTTTTAATCTACACTAGTTCTGCTTCAATTTATTATGTGTATACATATATATAATACATAGTTGTTGATGGTGTAATATGTGGTTATATATATGTATATATGTATATTTAACTATTTATTTAATTATTGCGAATTTTTTATTATAATTATTAATTATAATTTGTAATATAACATTTGTAATTTAATATATTGTTAATAATTCATAGTTATGATTTTATTATAGAAAAACAATTTCCTCTCTGCATTCATAAGGGCTTGAGACCTTCATGTTAATAATGTTTTGGTTTATATTAACATGGCTGCATTAGAATCGGTTTATTTACTTCAGTTTTTTCACTGCTCTTTGTCTATCGACTTGCGTAACACTATTGTGTAGGTTTCCTGCATTGTTCTTATTAACTTTTACATCGATCATGCAGTATAATATATTTTAGTTAATTGTAGAACAAAATGCGGATTGTGTTACAATATAAATCTATAAATAATCAATCAATTCTTTATGTTCATGATTAATATTTTCAATAATTATAATATTCAATAAATGTTAAAAGCAATAATTTGAATTAACTGAATTTTTTAGATTTATATCAATCTTAGTCCAACGACTTACTGTTTTTCCAACTTTTAATCCTCAGATATAAATATAATTTTGTAGCTGAAACTGAATAGACCATGAGTTTGATGATTATATAAGTACTTTGGAAGTTTCATTTGATTTTAAAATATTTCTTACAAAGTTTACAAATAAATAATTCGTTTTCTCCTGGTTCATTTTCAATTTTTCTTTTTTTAAACCGCCCGTTAACTATAACATTCTCTTCTTCATCCGTATCAATACTTCTGTACTGCAAACATCTTTTTTCACATTTCCGTCTGCAATATTTGCATTGGATTGATTCCGATTTTATATTAGAAAAGCAACACATACATATATTTTCCATATTGTCTGATAGTAACAGAAGATTATGTGCTACTTTTAACCAATCTTCCATTTTTTCCATTGGATCATTTGTAACTGATTGAATGATGAGTTTGTATGTTTGATAAAGTTTTCAAATGCCTTTGTAGCTCGATCTTCATCGTCACCTTTACCGTAAGGATCTAAAACATACTTTTTCTTCACTTATGTTTGCAACGAATAATTGCCAATGACTATTTACTAAATAAGGCATTAGTAATAGGTTTTCAATAGGAAATGTAATTGTATTTATTCTTCGATCTGTGCATTTCCTCCTTCCGCTGTATTCTCCCAATATTATCGATCTCCATAAAAACACTTTTTACAAAAGTAAAAGGTTGCATGAATGCTTTTTTAACTTCCTTGCCATTTTTATCGCTAAAACCTTGCTACTTCGTCCACAGTTATTTTAATTAATAAAAATGATACGAGCGCTATATATTACTTGCTCATACACGTACAGACAGATTCTTGTATCCTATACTAAAAATTATCCATTTTTCACATATTACTCTGTTTAGATCTTCACTCAATAATAGAATTTTCTTATTCGTCTTTAAACTTTTGAAAGTACTGAAATCAATATAAATAAAGCACGGATGCCATTTATAAGTATAACATCTTAAGGACCAAAAGAATTGATAAAATACTAAAAACTCGTTGATTTTATATGTCTAGACATATAAAATATAAATATAAATATAAATATAAATCTTATCTCTATGTCTAAACATCATTGTAAACAATGACTGAAACATGTTCAGTATCTTTAAATAATGAATCATTTTTATGTATTTAAATTGATATTAGATACACTACGTCTCGATCAACCTTATTTTTTTATTGGGATCGTTTTTAAATTTTTGAAAGAAATGAAATCTATTTGAAAATGGCACGGATGCTATTGATTCGTTTCAGCTGCTACATAACAAATAGTCACGCATTATTTATACGTTGAAATTTTCAATAACTTATATAAATTTTTGGCAACTTTTATTCTTGCCGGGCCAGTCCGCCAATAATATCAGGTATAAGCATGGACAATAAAATATTATAAAATGAATTACTCTTAGCCGTG